GGGGGAGTGGGATGTCAGTCAGTGTTTGGTAGTAGAGTGAAAACTCCCAGTACATATGCATCTAAATACTCTTTAAGTTGCAAAGGCTGTATTCCATTAAAATGTGTGATCACATGGCAAAGTAGCAGGGTAAATAGGATATAAAAAAATTATGTAGGTCTTCAAGTGGAAGTCCTAGTTCTTTCATTGAAATCTACATTTATAATATTTTATGGACATCCATTTATGCAGTACATTTGTATGGGCAGATAAACTTAACTTAGTGAATATGCATGTTTATCCTACAATGTCATCCCTAAAAATAATTAAAATTGCACATTAAATTTCCTTTTGGGCATATTTTGCAGCAGTATGGTGAATGCTTGGTAGGTTTATTACGTCTGTCCATCTGATGTATGCATATATGAATGATGCTCTTAATGAACTGATTTTGATGAAATTTCATATTATGGGTTTATAGAATATAATTTGAACCAAACTGAACAAGATTGACTGTGACTGTACATTTTCATTTACATTGTTATAAACATAAGCTGATCTGAAAAAAAAAAAAAAAAATATGCGAGATAAATTGTAGCCTTTAATAAGTCATTATTAGCATTGTATATGATTTATATTTTTATACAGTAGATTGCTTTTTTGCATTGTTCATTGAATGCTAATGTCTATGTAATATCTGCTAGAGATTGTGTATGTTTCTTACCAACCGTTTTTGTTATAACTTTCGTGTACTTGCAGCTCCCCCAACAGCTGTGGATGACACCATCAGTCCACAGCATGTGAAGGAAAGTTACTCCCAGTTCACTTCCTCAAACTACACTCCTGACAATATTGATATTAACCGACACCCTGTACATGTGGGGTGAGTATGACAAATAATTTTTATTCTTGAGATCTAGTAAGTAACCCTTTCATTGTCAGTGAAAATGTATGTGCTGTATGCACTCATGTGCTAAGTAACATTTGATTCAAGACCTATTTTAGGAATTATATTTTAAACATGTCTCTTCTACAGTGTACTGATATAACCAAGAATTTCTTTTTACCTTGTGTAAATAGTCAATGTGAAGATAAAGAAACTAAGTAGCAGTCTGTATATTTCCATTGTGACTCAGTAAAATAACTTATTCTGTCAGATAACAACATTTAAAGAATTGATAGGTGTACATTGTAGCTAACTGAAAGACTGACTAACGGACCAGCTCCATGGAGCAGGGTTATTCTTGAGCATCTGATATTTATTCATTCAGTCAAGAAATCCCCTGCATTTTATGGGATGAGAATATTCATTATCATGTTCCTAAGACCCTACCACTGGATTATATTCTGTGCCAGACACCTGTATAGTTGCAGATAAAAATATTCAGTAATAAACAGTGACAGGGTTGGTTGTAATCCTATTGTCACTTAAAATTAGATCACAGTATTTCGTACAATCTAGTGACAGATATATTATAACTGTTTTACACTTCTGTCTCCTTTTGAAGTATTGGAATTTTAACATCTAACTCAAAAAGAGTGTTTGATACATTTTATTGTATAGATTTGTTTATAGATCAACTTACAGTTTTGTTTATTCTTGGGTATAATATTAAAAGTGACCATAGTATTGATAAGTCTGCTTGTGAGCTAATGTGTTACATTTCCTCTTATTTCTGACATCAACAATTGGCAAACTCTCAGGAAACTGCACTGGAAGAAGTAAGTAATCATGGCTCATTTATGGGTAGAGAACTGACTAGCGAAGCTGTAGCTATCTGTAGCTATAAGTAAAGTATTTTTCATGTTCTTGTGAGATTTCAATAATGTAGAGCATTGTTGCCCAACAATGTACAAGTTTTTCATGTGCCTTCGTAGTTCTCAATTGGTTCATACAAAATTTCAAAATTTTGTCAAGTAGTCCAATCATTTAAAAAGGTTTACACAATTCTGGTACAGATTGTGGCTGCTGTATTCCTAGATGAACCAGAAACGTGGCCATGTGTGAAGGACTTACGCATTTGGGGAGATTAATACTTCATGTTGTTTCGTAAGCAAAATTCAACGGCCATTTTTCACCCAAGTCTCCTGATTCACTGCTATATGGCTTTGGCAGTCAAATCAGGATTGAGTAGAAATTGTGCAGAGTCAGTGGGCTGGTCACTCACTACTCATAAATGCACTCATCAAGACCAAGAAACCTCCGAAAAGGAGGCGGCAAAAACCCCAACTGGGTTGTAGAGCCAAGAAACAACAACAACAACAACATTATTTCATGTAGAACTATTATAATTTGTATTTTTAATTGTATCCATTAATCTAAGTATGTTTCTATTTGCTAAACTCCGCCTTAGTGTGGTAAGGCATCCAGCATTTCCAGAATATCTAGAACGTCATGGTTGATTAGAATAAACAGTGTCCTTCAGATGTTCCCACAGAAAATCATTCATGAAAGACAAATGAGATTATTGATGTATAAAAGCTACGCTTCATGCCTGCGATTCTGGATTACTCTATATTACAGTTACACTTTCTATGTATTTTGTGCTATAGGAATGAAACTGGAACAACAAATTATGCAGTATTCATTTTGAAGTTGCCTTGAAGATTTTCTTAAAAACTTACCAGATTTTATTACATGAATTCATAACTCACCCACACTACTGATGTGAATGTTTATTCTTTCATAATCATGTCTTAAATTTTGTCAGAAAAACACTTTTTTCCATAGATAGTTAAATGTTTCAGGAACAAAATCATTAAATATTGGAACAAGGAAGTCCAAGATATTCTAAAAAATGTGTGATACTGTGCTCAAGTCTGATATAACAAGTATCCATTGTGAAGGCCAGCAGTTTAGCATTTATAATAATTTCCCATGATTTCAGAGTTTTTAACCTTTTGTGGTTGCTTAGCAGAAATTTTTAAATTTTTAACTGATTTATATAATGGTGTACAATTCTAAACATTATGATTTTTTATAGTAAATTTGTCTTGTATATATTAATTTAAAATTATATAAATTTATTTTTATTATCAAACTTATTTTTCAGCCATATTTTGGAAATTCTGAATACAATTATTGTTTTGTAACACATATCTTGTGTGTATTTTACTAACAGAAGATGAGTTAGTCTTTGTAATCAGAAACGTACTACCAGGCTATGGAACATGTATATGTTTTTGCCCCACTCAGTGTAATAGGTGTTGATTTAGTTAACTGCATGATCAATAAAATAAGTACTGTGAACATATTAGGGTGGCAGATATGTCAGATGTAAATAGTATTGAAACATTCCTGTGTTCTATTTTGACTTTCTTTCTTGCATATACTTTATTTATTTTTTGTACTGTGTGCTTGTTTTTTACATCATTCCATCACTTTAAACATCTTCCTAAACTTCTGTTTTGCATTAGTTAATAATATTGCATATGTTTGAATATTCTCAAATTAGTGAAGAATATTATTATTTTTGTACTTCTGTTTATAACGTTGTAGTAATGCTGGATTTAAGAACCGGACAGAAACTGAAAATTTGAAATTTATAGTGTGATTTGTTGTGGTATATATAGGTTAGAAATGTCAATAGGGAACAGGAGGTAAGAAACATCTTGTACACAACTTTTGAATACATGTTGTTACTGAAAATGTTAGAAGACTGTAGCTTCTTGAAATGTCCCTGATGTTGAAGATCTGCTGTGAGAGGAAATGAGTTGAGAACTGCGTCATTCATGTAGATTGGTAGTATAAACAATCATATGTTCAACCAGAAACAGAATTGCACTAATTTTTATGCATTTATTCAAAATTCGGTAATAGTTACATGATAATATGCCCTAGTTTCCTGGTCAGCTTCCTGGTGGATGCTCGAGGTGGAGCCATGCGTGGCTGCAGGCACAGTGGCGTTCGTGTAATTGTGCCTCCTCGAAAGGCTGCCATGCCCATGCGAGTTACCTGTCGTTACTTGAAGAGGGACAAGCTGAGTCATCCACCACCCCTCATGGAGGGCGAAGCTCTTGCAAGCCGTATACTGGAGCTGGGACCAGTTGGGGCAAAGTTCTTAGGGTGAGTAGCCATATCTAGAGTACCAGGAAGTTTGTGGTTTTAGTTCCTCCATAGTTCCTTTACAATCTTAATATTCAAAACTGAAATACCTGAGAACAACAAACAGCTGATAACAATTCATGAACTCTGTGCAGTCTCTGCACTTAAAATGTTCAAAATCTGAAACTGTGACATAATTCCAATCATTCATAATTTCCTTGTTCTTGTCTGTATGTTTCTTTCCTCTACTTTCCTTTTGTTACAGTTAGTTATGCCAGATGCTTATGTCTGCCTAATGCGAATAAAAATACATCTTTATATTACTGGCTTTCCTTAGACTTGAGACTAGGTTCTGCAGCTTAACAAAAGAGAAGATTATAATTTCCTTGGACATCTGTATTTGCTTGTAGACAAGTGATTGGTATAGGACACTGGTATCCAAGTTTTTTTTTACCCACTACTCCATATTTTAACAATTTCTCTTAGGCAGTCCCAGCATAGTTGACTGAAGTAAAAAATTTATTCTCAGACTTGAGCATTGATCTTGATGTATTAATTATTATTTGCATAGAAATGACTGCAAACATTTTTTTTAATATTACTGTTTAATTAAATACCTCAGACAGAATAAACAAAAATTAATAGAAAATTCGTTGAGAAACTTGAGCTTAGATTTTGGACTGTGCAGTGCTGTATGTACACTCTGTGCAACAAAAGTCAATTGCTTGAAATTTATTAAGTCCCAAACCAGAAGTGGTTTAAGCATATAGCTCGCATCATAATTCCAGTCATTTGTAAACTCCTCGTATTTCTCCATGTGCCTGCCTGCCTGCCTGCCATTAACTACAATGATTTATGTATGACATGTCTGTTAAGCAAAGACACCAGAATATCTACCTAATAAAATATGTAAATAAATAAGTAAAAAAAGAGAGATCCTAATGACTTTTCTGAGTCCTCTGATAAAAAAACAAAGGTGCAAACTATACTTCAATTAGTTGTCCATGTTCCATCTTAGACCAGCTGGTGTGGTAGAGGACTGGTGTTTATGCAGAGATCACATATGTGAGTTTGAGTCTTGATGCCTAATACATTTTTTAATGGGTGTGTTGTATTTGCAGAAATAAGCCTACTCTCTCATTGTGTGCCTGTTATGATATTTAACTATATATGTTTAAAAGTTTCTGTGTGGAAATGATGCCAAGAGCAGCTGGGAATCTTTTTCAAAATATGCAGATTGTGGTATTTGAAAATGAATGTCCAAAATCTGTTTGTTAATGAGCAAAAAGTAATCATAAGTATTATCATTCACATTATTACTAATTTATTTGTGGGGCATTAGAGATGCTAGAAGTGTGAGGGGAGCAGGTATTTATTTTATTTTTGAAGATTGCTATCTTCTGGGTTGTTGCGCTGTGTAGTCTGGTAGATGTCCACCAACGTTGCAGAGGTCATGCTTCCTCCAACATCAGGATGACTCGCTGCTGTGAATACCTCAAATCCTACCAATTTTATTTTTATTGACCATTATCATTCAGATTTAAATATTTTGCATTTGAATCTGTCCATAGGCCAACAATTTTATCTGCAAAAAGCACACACACTTTAGAATTGTTTTTGTTTTCTGTAGTATACCATTAACATAAAAAATAAGACTTACTGTGATAGCCCTTAAAGGGCTCGTTTAAAGACCTGGTATCTTTAAGAAGACATCCAAAATATTTGAGCTTCAGCCATGAATCTCATTTGCCTTAGTAAGGACTCAGCATTACACGCCAGTTCTGCATGAATTTTATGATGGCAAAAGAAGGTTGCTCTTTTATCTCTGTATCACTGCAAGAAGCAGAAATAGAGTTTTTTGGACAACAATGTAATCTCTCTTTTCTGTGTGAAACTCAAAATAAAAAAAGGTTCTGTTCTCTAGACCTGTTATCATTGAGGTGCCACATTTTGGGTCTCTTCGTGGCATGGAACGTGAAATTGTTATTCTTCGCTCTGACAATGGTGAAACGTGGCGTGAGCACACCTTGGAGGCAAGTGAAGAAGCTGTCCATGAAGTACTCAATGAGAGTTTTGAGGGAGAAGGTGAGTGAAAGTAGAAATATTATATCATATATTTACTTAACAATGTTTTTTTATGTGAAGCTTATGGAAAACAGTGTATTTCACTGCCATGGAAATGTTGAGTTTCTTTAATAACAGTGAAAAAGCAGTCTGTAATAATGATAGAAACCTTGATTCGTGGAGCTGTTTCATGTTGCCTTTGAGAATTTGTGTTTTTCATCCAGAATCTGGCTACTGTAAAGCTAGTGTAAAGTGTTTTACTCATTTCAAGTACATTTGTCTTCCATGTGTGTTCTTTGTTATTTTTGATACCTCATTTGCAGTACAAATCTATTGTTAACAAAGGAAGTAATGGCATGAATACAGCGTAGAGGAATAAATTATTTTTGTTTTGTTTTGTGAAATGTACACTATGCTGAAAAATGTTTTAATAATATGTATATTTTTGTGATTTGTGTAATGTACCATTTTTTATATGTGAGCTTATTTTCAGAGATTTAATGAACTGTAGTTTTGCTTTTTGTAAAGTGTTGTTTGTACTGGACGACCTGAAATCATTTAATGAGGATCCCCCAGTATCAAGTGTCGTCATAATGTGTCAGTGAAAAACATGTTCAGTATGTGAACTACTGGTATTCAGGAGGATTTTAGTCAGTGTTCAAAATTATCAAATACTGTGCTTTTAGAGTATCTGCAGTGGTTCTGAAGACAAATAACATTTTTTATTTCAGTTCAACTGTATGGCAGTTGTTTCTTTACATACTGTCTTTCACTGTCTTTCTTTGTGAAAGTCTGCATTTGAGCTATACTGCCAGTAGAATATAATGTTAAAACTGTAAACACACATTGTTCTAGCATGTGTTCCATCATGTTATATAATGATTCAATAAGTTACCACTGGTGGCTACACAATCTTCCCAACATATATCAGAAATTAACAACAAAATTATGTTTATACATCAAGAGTTTTGGTTAATGCATAAGAATTTTAACTGGAGCATTTTTCTTGATCATGTACATGTCACCTGATATTTTTAGAATAATCAAATATTAGAGGTGGTGATGGATGGGTTGATCATGTGACTAGGATCAGGAAGACGAAGAATGTATACAGACTTTTTGTGGGGACATTTCTTGGAAAATGTCAACTTGTCAGAGCAGGAAATATATGCATAATAACATTAAGAAATTAAGAAGGATCTTAGATGCATGGGAGGTGAATAGAAGTGGTTCAGGTCATGTCCAGTAGCAGGCTTGGTATTAGTTGCGATGAACCTTCAGCTTCTGCCATCACAGTATTACAATTGGTAATTGCTTTATCATGACATTCAGTGGTTCAAGACTCAGCTGGACTATGATTTTTTTTCTGCAGAATTGACTGCTTTAGAGGAGATAAGCTCTGGCCGCATGACCCGTATTCTGACCACAGACTTTCCTCAGTATTTTTCTGTGGTGTCTCGCATCCGGCAGGAGGTGCATGCCATAGGGCCCGAGGGAGGCATGGTGTCATCCAGTGTGGTACCTCAAGTACAGGCAGTCTTCCCTCAGGGGGCTCTCACCAAGAAGATCAAGGTTGGACTGCAGGTAAACTTGTTCAAACCTCGCAAGGGCACATCTGCAGGGATGCTGAAAAAGATTACTGTTAACCATGTACCAAAGAAGAAACGTTTCTCTCTTGTTTGGTGAACATTCTCGTGATTGTAAATGAATTGGATCAGAGTTACTTACTGGCTAGATTGCTGTATGTTAGGCTAACAGAACTTGCTGTTCATGTGTACATTCCTTGGATTCTGAATATTAACATTGCAGACTCGGATTTTAGAAACGACACTCCATTTTTTCTGATTGAAGATATATAAATTACAAAGATATAACAAGTACCATAATTGAATTCCTCTAAGAATTCTTTTCTTTTCATGTGCTTTTCGCTTCTCAGTAAATTAGTTAAAATTCAGCAACTCCTTTTTATCTAATAAAAATTTGTAATGAAATTTGTCATTGAGAAATTAATTATTTTACCAGGGTTTACTCAGATAGAGGGTCTGGAAATTATTTCAGCATGAATGTTTTAAGAACAACAACAGCAACAATAATAAAATATGTTATTCGACTATAGTGGCTCCACAAACAAAAATATTTTACTTGCATAACAGTAGTAATATCTCAGGTATGTCATGCTGAGAAGTATGATGCTTTGCATAATTTGTTATAATTATAAATTGCTAGCCAAAGCATCCACCTGTAACACACATCTGTATTTGGGACATCTATAAACAGAAAATCTTCCTTACGTTATGAGTTCAATGAAGTATCTCTTTATGTGATAAGCTAATGAGAAACTGAAATGAATGTTATATGACTTCACAAGGGATTAAAGTACCATTTGCTGTTATTGATGACTTTATGGAAACTACTGATATTTGTTTGAAAACGTCTGCATTATCTGACTTTGATTGTTGCATTTGTTGCTAAATTATTGATCGAAGTTGGGATCTAATGTAATGATTTACATCAAATTATAAAATTTGTGCATAAAAATTTGCTTGAAAGCTCATAGCCACTTTACTTTGATCCAGTTTGATGCATGAATTGTACATCAAACACTGCAGTCTTGAGTTATGATTTATTGGCTTCAAGTTTAAATATCAATGACCTTTTGTAGGCTATATTACATAACGGATAGTCATTTGATATTATCACAAGAGTATCCACTTTGGACATAATCTGTTGTCTGGATAAAAAAATACACGCGGTATTTTAGAGGCTTGCTCCATTTTCATTTAAAAGGAAGGACCTTTTATTATTTTAGGTCCATTAGATAAGACTAGTCCTTATAACTTGGTCTTTGAAGAAGCCAGAGGTGGATTGTATAAACAGAAATATATAGAAACCCTATTGCAAAGTGAGGAGCAAGAATTAGTCATGAAAGATGACAGTTACTCGTCGCAAGGATTAGCTTTGTATTATGAGTCCCTTGAAGCCTCAGAAGACTGTAAGCTGGGAGCCACCTTCCAAACTTCTATGTATTCTATATTCTATATGTATGTCCAAAGAAAGTACCCCCATGACGTACTAGGTAGGTAGAGACTGGAGGTGTACAAATATAGTACTTAAATTTATCACTAGATATTTATGATAATTAATTCAATTTGACCCATTGATGTCAATGATATTTAGAATACCACTACGAAGTTGTATCAGGCCATGCTCGATATCCTACTTTAGTTTTTCTTTTAGAATTGTCTTATTGTATTTATAAGCTTGGCTATCAAACCATGGATGGGGATGTATGGGACTGTTCTGGCAGTATTGTGTTATGGAACTTGTGTGTTCTTCACGGCTAGATGATACCTGAGAAAACGTCAGCCTTATTTTGTGAAAATAATGAAATAGCAATTGTGCCCGATTGGCAGACGTATATTTACATGAATGCAGGAAGAAATCAGAAGTGTTCATTATGCCAAAAATAATGAAATTATGTTCTTGTTCAAACTGAAAAATATTTCTGTGTTCAACATTATTATAATGACTGTGCATAAAATCACTCATGAAAAGGAATTTCCCATTGTAAGCCATGCTTTTTACATTGGACTTTTACTCTGTATTTAATAATTTGTACTTTTGTGAGGGAGGGTAATGAATGACAGTTTCTCTAGGAATGATGCCAAAATTCATTTTTAAGTGGCAAAAAAATTGGTGAAGAACTTTTATTTAATTTCTATTTAATTGTTCATTTAAGTATTTCTGTTAATGAGGTGTTTGTAATTAGATTTTGAGAAGTCAGATACACTTTCAAAGAGACAGTTACCCACCTCAGTTTTCCATGATTAGCAATGTTATCTGTCATCACCAGCTGTCATTAGTGTGTTGCTTCTGTCAAGGTTCATTCCCCAGTTGTTTGCCATGTAGATGTCACTGCTGCTGTTGTCCAATATACAAACAAAAAATTATTGTGAGTATGCTATCTGCATTTTTCATGTCCTGCAATAAATATTAGTATTTGTAGAGTGCCATACTTTTACCAGTGAAGAATTGAAGATCTTGTAGAATTTTTTAAAGAAGTTAATCTTGTAAGAGAATGTTATGTGTAGTAAGGCATAAAAGTATTTTAGATAATATTCTGTTTGCATTTGGCTGTTTTATGTTTTAAGTCTGCATCTGTAAGATTGCTTTAGAATTAATGAAAGTTATGGTACTTAAGATTTTTGAATGAAAGAACCAATAGTAATGCAAATAGTGCATGGGGTTTTGGTAGTGTAGCTATTTAGAGAAAACAGTAATTTCACTCAGGTGCAGTAAATATTTATATTTTTTTAGAACCTTCTTCACCTTATTTGTGATATAAAACCATTTAAAAGGACCCAGATTTATAAGTTTCTAAAGTTGTAGAATGTAGTGGTCTCTCATTTTAAATTTTAAAACGGGAAATGTGTCAAAAACTTGTTTTGCTTCTGGGTTGAAGAGTGATGCAAAGTGAACACAGCATGATGTAAGCTCTGGAAGAGTTACTTATATTCGATATGAACATAAACAAGGTGACATATGCACCATCACTTCAGTTTATTTTGAGGTTAGGTTCATGAGAGACATGTTTTCATAAAGGACAAAAGTATTATAGTTTCCTATAAGAAGTAACTAATGCTTCATTGATCAGTATGTTCAGTATTGATTCATCTTAAGATGGCTGTCTTTTCAAATCCTTCTTGATTCATCTTTAATGGTGATACATAACTGCCAAGATACTGAACGAATGAAACTGAAACTTTAAACTCATTCTAAGTTTACTTTAATCTTTGTACTTTAATTACTACAATTTCTTCTACATCAGATATAATTGGATGTATCAGTATGACCCAAATGAAATAGCATTGTTTGTGAAATCAGAGCGCGTCACATGATGGTGAGGTTGGCGTTAGAGAAAGGGAGGCTTTAAGTTTTAAACTGCATCTGACCTTTTCACCTGGAGATAAAACTAAGTACCTGAGATACACTCCAGTGTTTCACATATAATTATTGTGACTAATTAACAATGTTGAGCAGAGTCCTTGAGAAGCCAATAATCACTCTTCTAGTCTAGAAATTCCCTGCCTTTTATGGAACCCAGAGGATCATTATCATGTGTACAAGAGCCTATCACTGAATTCATTCTACACATTCACACAAAATTGTTCTCATTTTCTGTTCTTCCTCTTGAACAAGTTAAATTTTATATTTATAAAGTTTGTTCCTTCAACTCGTTCTTCACTACTTTTCAAATGATTTGTTCATTCCCTGGATTTTATGATTTTGTATTGTATTTTGTTATCAAGACATTACTAATTTTGTGCATTTATTTACAGAGCAATGTTGTTAGTAACTACTTTTAAACTTTCATTTTCACCTAATATATTAACATCAGTGTAGACCAGTAGCTGATGCATTTCCATTAAATTCCATTTTCTCATAATCTTCTTGGACATTCCTAATGGTGTTTTCTGAAGTGAAGGTGGACAATTCCATTTTCTCATGATCTTCTTGGACATTTTTAATGGTGTTTTCTGAAGTGAAGGTGGAAGCAATGGCAATTAAGCATGTACTTTTATTTAATTTATTAAATTGTTATTTTTCATAATTGTTCCAGTAACTATTTACTCTTTTACTTTTATATTTCTAAAAAAAATTATATCTCTAAGTTCAATTCTTTCTTTATTTTTTGAAATATCAGTATCTAACATTTATATTATTCAAGTACAACTAATATTACAGATAAAGCTGGCCACACACACTCCTTTCTCAGCATTTTGCGTGCTGATTGGTCTTGAGATCGTACACAGTGAGTCCCCACAAACCATTCTGTAGTCTTAATCATTTTCCTTTCAGTTGAAATTGATTGTGCTTAAGGCAGCATGAGTCTTTGTGATTGGATAATAATTTATGTCAGCATTTCTGTGGCTGTGAAAGCCAAACAGAAGATGCAGAAGAGGAAATGTTGTACGTGGTGAAAGCAGTGACTGATGAGAAAATGGCATCTGTTACACACAGTTTTATTAAGAAACAACAACATACAATTAGAACCTGATGATTGGTTGAATTGTTTAAGAATGGATGAAGATACTGAGCTTAACTTCTGTATAAAGTAACTCCACTAAATCTGAAAAAAGATGCAGTTAAGAGAGAAGTAGTTATGCCACACGAACTTCTCTGCGTTAGTCTCTGTTTCTTAGTGACAGGCAGGTGTTGTGAAGACTTGAAGTTTTCCACTGTAGTTTCTCTGCAGCCAGGAATAATTATCAGGAATATGCAAGTCTGTCTACATGGAGATGAGGGAGGAGTATTTGAAGGTAAGTTATATATTATAATTGTTTTTATTTGTCCATTCCCAAACAAAGCATTGTTATGTACAGCGCTATGAAAATACAGCAGAAAATTCCTTTGTGAAATTTTGTAATTTTAATAACTTTTTATAACTGCACAGGCCTCCCTGTGTAAAGAACTCTGCTATATTGGGATTATGGGTACATGTTTCTGTGTATGAAAGTGATTGCAATTGCCTTGAGGCACTTGGTTCAACAGAATTTTAAACAGATTTAAGGGCTCTTGTCTTGAAGTTTAATGTGTAACTTTGGTTTTTAGATTCAGCCATGTTGAATATTGTAGGATTTTCAACATTCAGCTGTTTTCAGGGTGAATGTGTAATGGGGTCTTTTATGAAGCCTTATGTAGCGCAGGCAGTAGGTGGCAAGTAGAATGTGAAGGATATAATTGGTGGAACAGAGGAGTGAGCTGCTAACCTTTCAGTAGTGAGCACATGTTTGAGGGAATGATGTGATGAAAATTGTTTCAGAGTATTTAAGGGCTATGTGGTGAAGGGAAGAGATTATAAAATAAGTTTTGGTGACCATGTGAATTTGGAAAGAGGAAGAAACTGCATTGTATGCCAGAACACTGGAAAAGCTACAGCGTTCGGCAAATATCATCACCATCATTGCATTTACTATTTAATATAACAAGTTAAGAATAAAGATAAAATGATGATAAAGTCTGTGTCATTAATAACACGTGCTTTCAATTCTAGTTTCCTTCAATGGAGAATGACTGGAGAAAATTGATGAAGAATTTGAATTAAATGACAGTTTATAAGTCATTTGATATTGGTAGTTTGAAAACCCATAAACCTCCAGGGAGTGGAGTTTTCATCTGGAATTATAAAAGTTCAAGAAGTTTGGTTTTAATGACCATTACAAATGCAAACTGAATTTCCTATCTGACATAAGAACCAGTGGTTACATTTTGGATGGAGGAGTAATTGAAAATAAAAAGTTCTGTGAGAAAATTCTGTAAGAACTATGTTTTCTTCCTCCCAGAAAAACAATAAGCAACACAAATGATCTTTACATGTTTGTCAGTAATGAAGCATTTTCACACCTGGACTTTTTGAAACCATGCATTCACACAGAAATGAATGAAGAACTTAAATGTATTTATCTGCTGTCTATCAAGAGCATGGAGAATAATTGGAAATGTGTTAGCATAATGCTGGATCAATGTAGAATTTATCATAATGAGATATGTTTCTGGACAACTTTCTGTGAAGGGATAATGCAGTCAACTCTGTTCTCCCTCTGACTTTTAACAAAGAGGACACTTCGTGAGTTCTAAACAGTTTGACTCATCAGATTCCTGTTATTTAATTCCATTGCAAAATCTGCATAACTGATACTATGGGATAGAAGCAAAGGAAGTAAGAAAAATACCCAAGTATTTTAATGAAGACGGTAAAGAACACTGAAGAAATAAAATGATCAATAAATCATTGCTGGTTTGTATTGTGCTGACTATAGTACATAGGACTTGTAATGATATTTCTTGTTTCTGTTTAATGGCACTGTACAAAAAGGCAACAAAAATATTCACAAATAATTGTATTATTTTTTATGTATTTTCAGAAAGACATACTTTCTGTTGGGCTGTCCTGGTCTTTTCAAAATAAAAGTTCTGTGTAGTACCACAAATTTTCTACGTATACATCTTTTGCCTTGCTTCCTGACTTAATTGGTTTATAATTTTTTTTAATTATTAATTATATTAATAATTAAATTAATAATTATTAATTATATTAATAATTAAACTAATAATATATTATTTATTATCATCTATTAAGTGATTCTTTTAGCAACTCTAAATTTTATTTCTGTCATTGTTGATTTGTTTTTAATTATAGCCTGCATGTTGTTTCTCTTGTAGTAATGTTTGGATTTTACTTTCTAAGGGCATGTATTTTCTTTGGTGAAAACTGAAGGCATATATTGTGACCCACACAGATGCTGGGACCACTTTTCTCTAAAAGGAAATCAAGCAGTGACAGATTGCTTTGATCTGATGCATTTGACAGTACATCATGATTGTATCCATGATTTTGTCTCATCTGTGTTTTATCTTACCTTCAGACTTAATAGTTTGTAAAATGATAAGCAGAAAGTAGTCTGTGTGTCCAGCATAAAACAAAGAGAAGATGAAGTTCCTTTATGGAATTTGTGAAGTGTGAAAAATTTGCTGTGATATGTAATGGTGTATAATACTTATATGTTTATTAGCTTGTTGGTTAGGTAGAAGTTCCCCTATGGAATTTGTGAAGTGTGAAAAATTTGCTGTGATATGTAATGGTGTATAATACTTATATGTTTATTAGCTTGTTGGTTAGGTCAATCTTAAAACCGCTGCTTGATATTCCAGCATCAGATCAGTTCAAATGTGACATGCCCATCATTTTGGTTTGCTGTGTCCTAATGGTGGGGCATAGAATGTGAAGGTTTCATTTTTTAAAAATCAGGCTAAAAATGTTACCAACATCTAAATCAAACTGTTATAGCCCATTGGCAACTGTATTCCCCACCTTTTTCAATACCTAGTAACTCTTTATTTTGTATTCATGGGTTTTGTATGGTTGTTTCCTTGAATAACATTAACAAGTTGATCTTTGTAATGGTCAAATATTGTTTTATTTGTGGTATGGACTGAATTCTTAAATATTATTAGGTGTGCTTCAGTTTCAAAGGGTTAAAGGAGATTCAGTGAAATCAAGTGCCAGTTTTTGCATATTTATGGTCTTTGGGGTCTGGCATCAAAAGCATTAGGAGATGATAAATAAGACATAATTACCCTTGGGCACTTACTTAAATTAAATTGTGCTGTTGGCTACTGACTAAATGGCTACTTTGCAGGAGCTGATTTTCTCACCATGCATGTGCTTGCTGTACTCAACTCCTAGTTAGTAGTTGTAAATCAGTTAAAAACAGGGCAAAGTATGTTTGCATGATCGTCTGTGTTAGTATCCGAGTGCTCTAGTGATGAACCGCGGCTTGCTACGATTTAATCATAGTATTACTTCAGCATCTTTCACTGTATTAAAAGTTATTATTCTGTGTGTGAATAAAAGAATATGGTACAAACATTAGGACAAATAATTGCTTACTGTTTATGGATGATGATGTAGTTTAAGACAGTAGGATGAATCTGCAAGTTGGAGGCTTGGATTACCTTGACATTTTTGGTGCCATTACTGTGGCTGAAGTAGGATGTTTCTTTGAAATCTGAGAATATTGTGAATTATGTTCATGTGACTATATTGAATCAGTAGATTTTATTGTACATTTTGGATTTGGTTGTATTAAAACAGGTTAATAGTAAGTCTGTTAAACTATTTTACAGACTAAATGAAAGTGGAGGAAATTTGCAAATATGTGTCCTCAGACATATGGAAAACTGTAGTTTACTTGAAGTTATGGTCCATGCATTAAGATATAAAGTATCATCTGTTATATGCCTGAGGGCTTTTGTAACTTGAAATTTGTCTTTCGTGACCCATAAGTTATTTTCCGTTGGTATTACACATGTTTTTAGTTGTAGCCAAAATCAGTAATTTTTAATTTTTTGTCAGTGGGTTATATTTGCTTATCTATAGGAGAATTGTTTTGAAATCCTCATGGCAGTATTTTATAGTGTTCAAATATATGAAAATATAACAATTACATTATTAGAGAGACTTCATATGTTTGGATATTACAAATTGTGTTAACCCTGCTTGCAAAGTCATCTAATGGTGGTTATTTCCCTATAACCTTGCATGAGAGGGACCACAAGGATAAGAAGTGTATGATCAGGAAGCAGAGTATGCAGTAAGGCTATTTTGCATGTGGTGTGGAATGTCTAGAATTTCCCGTTGTTCATATACTGTTGTCGATATGCATTTGAATAAAAAGTACCTTAAATGTTTGTATATTAGCCCAGGGTACTAGTTGCAGCTTGTCCTGATATGGGCTACACCTTGAACAAAAATTATTTTTAAGGTTAGTGTTCAGTAAAAAAAATTATATCATTATAAAGGAGTACTTGAATTTGGAAATATTCATTAATTGAATCAACACAGTTCTGATTATTACACATTTTAGGTGTGAAAACCATGTTTTAAGAAAGGCATCTAAAGGCACTTGTTAACAGTTTTTGTGCCAGTACTGGGATAAAATTCAAAAACAGGGTACTATATATCCCTGAAGTTTAATCAAACATTTATCATAATTTCAGTATTTTGAAACTTGCATTGTTTTGCTTGTCTTGACTGCAGTACAAGGAGAACTGTTTGTGAGTGTTCTGCATCCTGGTCATTGAGTGGTGACGCAGCTAGAGGACAGAGTGGGATGGCTTGTCCCACTTTTCATGTATGGCTTGTGCTTCTAGTCTCTAACTGTTACTAACAATGAACACTGGTTTTCCATTGCACATACTAATATTTGTATGTATACAAGTTTTTTGAGTGCCCAATAAACTTAGTTAAACTATGAATGACTTAATGATTGGTGTCAATTCAGAAACCCCAGGGTTCAACAACAAGCAAAGTATGGTTCGAAATGTGGCACTCACATCTTCTGCTGCGGTGTTTAACTAACTTTATTGGGCGGAAGATTAAAAGAGAGCAAGGAAAGAAGCATTTCAGGAATTACTTTCTTGGTGTAAACATATTTTGGATATGTGGACCATTCAGCTTCTTCCTAGACACTAGCATCACTTATTTCTACAACTGACAAGCACTATGTAACTCTTAATGCTTTTATTGTTGTTGCTACATAGTGCTTAATGTTGCTCTCTTTATTCTACTTCTTTTTTTAATTCTTGTTGCTTACATTTTGCTTCTGGCAGCTTTGTTTAATCATGATGAATGCTACATCGAGCCTGCTTATGTGCTGTTTGCCCTGCAATGTCCTTCCTTCCTCATACACAGTCTTAAAGAATCACATTTCCTGCTTCTTTGCATAAAATAAAGATACTTAGCTTTGGTGTCTCAGACATAACATTTTCTTTCAAAATTTTATGACAAGCAATTACAAAAATGCTTCCATGGCTTCATGTAATCTGTAAAATTTACTTAGAAACATTTGCAGGATATGAATATATCATTAATAGGAAAGAATGGTTGAAGGAATATCTTTGGATAAGGCATGTGGCAAAACATAACCCTTGTCAGTGGATGACTCCTTTAATCTTGTGAATGACCTATTGCTGCAGAGATACTGATATATTGTTATGTCTTACAGAGTAGTCTGTACATTCGTAAAATTGTGCTTGCACTTTGAAGTTTTGATTTAAATATGGTACAACAGTTTTATTATGTTTTGCCACTTGATGTGATCCTATAGGTACTATTTTATGGAATTTTAATTGTAATTTATTATTGCAGTGCTAAAAAAAAATATGTTCTTAATCTCATTTAGCCGTCATCAGTGCACAGTACTATATTATTATAATGGCTGAATGAACCAGAAAGTGTATCCAGTTTTGTGATGGTGTAGGTTCTTGGTTATGATAAATCATATTAATTTCTTCTGAGTGTCATATCATGCCATATAATATGTTAACATCCAAGATTTATTGATTAAGAGAAAGCATGTGAAAATGCACAAAACATTTCCTCAAGAATTTTTTAAAAATATGTAGAGGCTTTGGAAGTTCTGGAAGTGAATTATTTAGAATGTACACTACTGTTGAGAATCATATCAGCATACAAACACTAAAATGAAGTGGAATGTGAAAGAAGTACTCCAAAATAAATGGAAAGGTATGTACTTGTTCTTCATAAACATATCACTGGAGGGGAGGTCAAGGATTTCAAATATCTTCCTTCATTTGTAATACAAATATAACTATGAAGGAGATTCATAAAGTAAGGGAAAAATTGGAATGGTGTCATTATGTGATTGGCAACAATGTTGGGTCCTGGTCATGCTGTAGCTTAAGGTTAGATTCTGATATGCTTTAAGTGTGGTTCAATTATAGTCAATTTGAGCCAAGTGAGCATGGAATAAAGGTAACTGCTCCAGTGGTGGTTTTTACCAAGGATAAGCAACATGCAATAAGCACTGTTTTGATTTCTGATTAAATGAAACTGGCAGAGATCCATCAACAGTTGGTTGCCACATATAGACAAAACTGTTTTGCCACAATGAAGTGTGTACAGTGGCTTGAAATGTTTAAAAGCAGCTTAACCAATGTTGTTGATGCAGACAGGTAAGGGTTCCGGCCCACATCCACATATGAACAAAACATGGAGTTTGCTCAAGCATTGATCCTTAGAAACTGTATGGTAATTATTGCAGAAAGTTATGTAAGATTGAGAATTAATGTTGCTTGTCCCTGATGTAAACCTGTAGTGTTCCACCCATCTTTATACCACACTCATTTGGCACAAATGGACTACAGCTGAACCACACTTACAGCATGCCACTGTCTGACCTTGAGATGCAGTATGACCAGGCCTCAGAAGTGTTTTTTGCCCTTAATATACTTTAATGTAAGAGATAGAGGTGGAAGATATGGGAGGAATTCTTTTACAGTAAACTCTTGATTATCCAGGCTAATGAAGGGGAGAAGATGCATAAATTGTTGAAAAAAACAGTTAATTAAAGATATTTTGTTTGGTGCATTCACAAAAGTCACAAATTACATTTATTTGTTTAGATTGAACTAACTTTTATAAAAAAATTCTCAAACCTTGCTGGTGGCAAAACTTAGCCAGTAGTTTTACAGACTAAGTTAATGATCTAAATAATATGTTATTAGGTAAAACAATAGTTGTTATCATATTTGAAGAAAAAAATTGTAAAAATTCGTGTATTAACTTCAACATCTGCAAGTTGGATGTGCAGAAATTTGACTGGAACTGAGTCTTTTTATAAGGTACTGAAATAATAGAAGTGCATACCTGAAGACCTTCCTTTAGTTTAGATATAAGGAGATATTAAGATGTGAATTGTGATCTTCTGGGTTGCAAGATTATGTAGTTTTGTAGGTAGTTACCAGTGTTTCAGTGGAATATATAATTTTCATCGTCAGGGTTGGAGGCATTATGTTCCTTCAAAATGTTGTAACTGTGTTGGTACCACAGCCCGGATTACAGTCCACATTTTTACTGCTGTGAAAATCCCAGATTTTAAAAGCTATTATGATAGGTTATAATGATTTTACATTTGGGCTTAAAATAATACAAATTTATTATTACTTGAAGTATGTGATGAGCCTTTTGGTAACGATTAATAACACTTCATGTTTCAACTCAAGAACTCTGCCTAGCTGGCAAGACAAATCTTGCTTGGGATTCAGCTAGAGCCTGTTGCAACTTTTGTTTTGTAAATTCACAATACGAACTAATCAACTGGCACTGTCATCTGTCAATGTTTCCATTTGACATGGACATATCTTGTACAATGCTTGGGTAAAGAAGCAGTACATGAAAAAGTTTGCTACTTATAATTTATTATTTATCTTGGACCATCCTGTTTTGTTTGAAAACTTAGTCTTTATTTTGCTTTGAATATCTATGAGTGTTATAATAGTGAATATTTTCTGAGATATGATAACTATAATACATAGAACAGGCCCACATGAAAGTACAGATAAATTGGAAACAACTGAATTTGAAAGTTGAGTTCAGCAATTTTCAGCTTATGTCATCAGCTATATTTATTGCTTATACAAAAAGGGGCCAGATGTAGCAACATTTAAGGTTTTTAGAAGATAGCTGTCTTCTGCGTTGTTGTGCTGTGTAATGTGGTAGAAGTTTACCAGTGTTTCACAGGTCCCTGCTGCCTCCATGATCACTCTGAAATGCTGGTAAACTTCTACCAGACTATATGGCGCAAGAATCCAGAAGACAGACATCTTTATACTCCCTGAAATTAAAACCTCAAATCCTATATAAGGTTTTGTCAAATTTTACCATAATCCTCAAATCCTATTTAAGGTTTTGTCAAATTTTACCATAATCTCAGGATTTTACTTAATATCTTGAGTAAATTCTATACCTATATAATTTTGCACATGGCTGAGTCTCATATTTTACACCATCCACATCATAGTATTATTATCACAATATTTTTAGCTGTGACAATGTTCTTTGCTCATCAGTGGGATATTGAGACATTTTATTTTTATGTGTGGAGCTGTAAAAAAATTCTTTCACTCATTAATATGCCTATGACAAATTTTTGCTTCAAAATTGCTGATTTGATACATCTGTGTATGGTTTTACTCTTTTGTTTTGGAATTTTTAGGCACAACCAATAGCAACAGAGCTGACAGCAAAGTTGTTGGGAAACCGAGTGGCTGTATCACCTATAGTAACGGTCGAGCCCCGAAGACGCAAGTTCCACAAACCCATCACCTTAACGATACCTGTACCTCAGGCTGCCAACAAGGGTATGATCAACCAATATTCAGGAGATGCCCCCACGTTAAGACTCCTCTGCAGCATCACAGGTGAGTGTACTGTCAGCTGTGGGAAGAAAGAGGCATGGTGGGAACATGTTCTAGCAGCAGCTAGTGGTGTTTCCTGCCACATAATCTTGGGATAGTAGAGGCTAAACTGAAGGACTATTTGTCTTTGTATTATCTTAAGTGGTAGATGTAGTGGCATGTATTTATGTCAAGAATTGTTTAGCAACATTGGGGCTTATAAGTAAAGCTGCTGTTTTGGGTGTTTTCTTTTTAATTTTGATTTTCCATATATATTTTATGAGCCATGATATCTCAGTATGTAATATGAATAGCTTTGAACTGTATGTTAGGATTTTTCTGCTATTTATTGCATCCAAAATACCTCTGAGATGTACTCAGCCTCCTGTCCATGGTGTATATTGAGTCCCCTTATCTGGTGATAAAATTTATCAACGTGTGAGCTGGCTGCTCGCTCACTCTCTCTAGTGTCAATGTAGCTCATGCTTCTGTATGTCTTTATAGTGCAGTACTTAGATTCAAGGATAATTTCATTTATTTTACCTTCTGAGTTCTTCCTAAGAGAGGTGAAATGGAAAGGAATCAAAGAAAATTTCATAATGAGGATGATAATAATAAGATTCATCTCAAAGAAACAAGTTGTGAAGACATGAACTAGATATAGTGGATCAGGTTAAGGGTTTTTGGTGAGCTTGTCAAGTCTTCAAGTTCCATGACATCAAAGTATTTCTTGATTCATTTTGCTGCTTAAAGAATATTCTGTATTACGACATTAATTACATGTTGCAATTTAAAACAGACAGAAACATATGGTGATATAATTATCAAAGGATAGGATATTGGCCTTTAGAAGTAAAGTCCTGAAGATTGGTGTTCACATTTCTATCCACGTGTCTTGTGAGATGTGTTAATTGTTCACATCTTGCTGCCAGCTAATGTAATATGCTCTGAAAATTAAAATGTACAGTATGCTATAGTTTTGTTGAATAAATATTTATGGTAAAGAGGGGAAAAATTAAATTAGTTCTAAGTTGATGCTGACATTTGTATATAAAACGGTTTGTCTCACTAACAAATTAGGGTTACCTCTGAGCATCTCTTCCATTTGTTAGGTTCATGAGTTTTATTATTTTTGGGATTAATTTGACTGTTACGGATGTGTCGCAGTTTTAGTTTATATTCTGAAATATTCAGATGCACTGTATACTGAGGTATTATTTTGTTCTAATCTCAGTCCTTTCAAAGCAAAGTTTCATGTGTAATGCATTGTATTTATACATATTTCTCTTCATTTAAATCTGCATTGTCAGAATTTTTAACATGATTTTTCCAATTTTCCAATGAAAGATCATTAATGAACACCATTATATTTTGTACTGAACACTGTAGTGTTCTTAAGTATAACTTTTGTGAAGTTTTTCATGGTTTTATTCAGAGCCTATGCAAATTCTGGGAGAGTATATTAGGTCTGGAGACCTTTTTAATCCATATAATTCATTCCTCATGGAATATATATTATGAAAATGATAAAACATCATTAAATAAATCAGGAACACAAATGTTCCATCATGCTTATGACACAGCTGTAGGTATGGTAAGTGGTAATCTAGAAGTAAAGGTTGATTTGTATGTTGGTAATATTGCAAATGTTATAGTACATCACCAAAGAAATTAGCTCAAGCAATAATGCATGCAACTTGTATTACAGAGGTGCTCAGCTATGCTGACATAGTTTCAGTGGATTTTCTCAGTCCCTCCATACAATGCTGAGATAGTACCTTTAAATAAGACAGGACTGGTCCCTTTCTAGTTTCTTCTAGATCAATTATTTAACCATAAATCTCTTTTGACATTATTATTGCAGTTGATACAGTACCATTAAAAAATAATTAATTAACCAACCCGCAGTACAAATTCATCTAGTCCTTCAGTACTTATATACCTCAAAACATTTAAACCGAAATTAATTATATTTTAGGAATAGCACGTGGTACTGAGTGTGAAAATCATTCAAGCACATGGAGTCACAAGTTTATGTTGTTCCTTAGAGAATCTGCCTCTTTAAGCCCATTATGGTATTTGCTATGCCTGAGATTATGTGAATTGAGAGCTGCACCATGGAACAAAGGGATATAAGTGAGAACACAGAAATTGTATTTCAGCCACTGTAAAAATTACATTAAAATAACAAGATACGTTGGCACAAGTGCTATACTCTCCTTCCAACATGATGATGTGTGCACCACGTCCATGTTGCCAGTTGGAATAATAATGCAATAGTTGTTGATGAACAACTATCTTCCATTTGTGCTGGCCATTGGAGGGAGACTATTGCACAGCAAGTGTCAAGACTCGTCTGTTAGGTGTAAAGTTACTTTGCTTGTGCTGTTCTTGCTTTGCTGTTCTTTGTAATAACAAAGAGATTGTGTTGTGTGTCTATGTACTTCTTTATGCCTCACTTCTGTCCTTTCGCTTCTCTGGTGAGGAGCACATGTTGAAGGGAAGCCAATATGCCGTGTAGATCAGTTGAATGTTGTGTGTTGGGGGCACTGCTAGGTTAATTATTGATTGTCACTAAGATCTGAAATTAGAGCAAAATATCCAGCATTGCTTGCTGTCTCTTTACATTTTGAATTGACAGTTTGAATAGAATATCAGTTTGGCTTGCATCTCAGTGTGACAGTTACGCCTTGCTGGATACTCTACACAGTGCTGTGTTTCTATTTGTAGACATCCATAAGGGATTTGAGTGCAGTTTTGTAGTTGTGCTAAATTGGGTTTCATAAGTTTCCTTACTGCCCTTTGTGATTTTTAAAAGAAATTCTATTACTTTGATAGATCTGTTAGTTTTATTCTTTTGAGAAAAATTAGATGTTGTCTTTACAAGTGTTTTTGTGCAGTAATTCTATATAACTTTCAGGGGTTGGCAACCTAGCTTATGTATGTAGTGTACTCACCCTACAATAATGAGTTTTAACAAGTAACTGTCTAGTTGAAGTAACTAATGGACTGTGATTGGGATGGTGTTGTGTTCACAATGAGAGCTTCAGCATGGCTCAGATCATTAATAACATGCCTCCTTGTGCATGTTTGGATACATAACGCCATTGCAACTCAGCTGCATTACATAGTTGTGTAGTATGGTGTTCCAGGGGGACACACGTGCATGTGTTCTCCTTATTGATACTGGCTCATGTAGCTAGTTGTAAGAATCCTCAGTAGCATTTGTTTTTATAGCAGTTCTGTTATTGCCAGCTTTTCATATTCCATACAACATTTTGTTTAGAGTACTGTAACATGTGCAGGTTACCAGCCACTATCATAGGGTAAGAAGATCACAGTAGAAAAAGTTAGCATATCAGAGATTATGAAGTTTCTGTCCATTACATTACCTTCTTCTAGCTGTTAAAAATGTGAAGTTATTCTGAGTATTAATCTATCAAAGGACTGTTCTTTGCATTCATTGTTTTTAATAAAATGAAATTAGATTAAAGTATCAGATGGATTTATGTCCACTAAAAGTGAACAGTTAGTGTTTCTAGAGGGAAATGTGGTGTTGTGTCATATGGGGATAGTGCCAAAGCTTTCTAAGCACACTTAAGGGTTGCCGGCCCCTGGCTGTGTCGACTGTGTTGTAACTAATTTGCTCCCTCACTTTGCTGCATTGCTGCACGCATGGCAGGGGTGTTTCGGAAAAGATCACTTAAAGGTAATGGGCAACACTGTCTGTTGTTTTATATATAATTATTTATATATTCCTTTCTGTCTTGAATTATATATATATTTTTAACAAAAAATCACCAATTATTAAAATGGTTAACACCACACACTTTTCTTAGATTTGCTGCATATACTTCTGTATTTTTCTCCAATATTTTTGGTCTCTCAGAGTTGTTAAAACTGTAATCAGAAACTGGAGCTTATTTGTAGAGGAGCATTGCTAGATTTTCCAAATTTTTATAGGATGACGTACTATACAGCACCTTCTGCTTACCTTGTTTTTTCAGGTTGCACAATTTTTTCAGAACTGCTTCACTAATGTGCACCTCATGTGTACACTAAATGTTCACTACAAGCTGGGTGTTGAGTAATATGCAGGGATTGAAGAAATGTGGCTTGACTGTGTAGCATTTCAAAATTAAACCAAGTGACAAACAAGATGCATTGTGTTTTAGTTGGGATTTGATAATTGGCATTGAGAAGGTTTCCTCCACCGTCCTACTGTACAGTTCAGTTCGCACCACTGGATGTCCTCACACCGCATGGCTCCCTCCAGCGATCAGTCTTAACAACTTGGAGGGATTGGATAGACACCACAACAAAGTCAAACTAAGGAAAAAGAAATATGTACATAGGGAATTATTATAGATTCCTACTAATCTGAAACAAAATTTTAAGATATATTAGTTGCCCGACAAGGGTCTTTTCTGAAACCGTTGCTGCTTCCTTTCTCATGTTTGTTTTGCATAGGAGTGTATCCCCTAATTTGCTTGTTTTTTCTATGTCTTGGCTTCTTATCACAAGGTATGTAGTACTATTGGTTGTTGCTTGTCTGTGTGGCATGGTTTCTCTATAATTATTATAGCTGTTAAACCAGGACTTCTGTTGTCATTTCATGATCCAACACTTGATTTTACAGTAAGTATTGTATGTTTGTGTTAGGCTTTTAAACAAAGGTGCAAGAAATGCATTTGTTACTTCCATGCACATATGAATGTCTAGTTGTGCACAACTTTCAGCTCCCAGAAAGCAAATATAGAGTCGTAGAGGTGTCTGGAGATACTTTGATTTCCTATCATGCGTTATGAAAGTTCACATGCTTACAAAGGAGAATGTTCGGTATTATATATATTTGGCAGATACGTAACCTAAACTCTGTTCAAGACCATTATCATCACTGAGGTCTTCACAGTCTTCCTTAGTCTGCACCAATACAAAGCTATTTTCTCTCTTCTGTCAAATTGCTGGGTTAATCTGGACTTGAAATAGGCATATCACAGATACACATCAACACACCACCTGAT